CGGTCCCCCACGCGCTCTGGGAGACGGGACCGACCCTCTCTTGAGGAAAGCAGAGAATAGGAGAACGAAAGGGGACTTATGGAGAGACGAATAGAAAGAGAAGTGAAGGAATGGAGAAGGAAGGAGAGAGGAGAGCCCGTTCCTTCGTTAGCCGCGGGGCGGAGGCTGGAATCCAGGCGCTTCTCAGCGGGACGCCGTTTCTTCGAGTCTCGACTCTCTTGAGCGGGAGAGTCTCGTACGTGAAAGACTTCCTTCCTCGCTCTCCATCTTCTTCTTCTTCTTCTTCTTCTCTTCTTCTTCTACGTCGTCTTTCTCTCCTGCCGCCGCAGCTCCTCGTCAGTTCTCCGTTTCGTTTTTAGCGTGCCACCTTCTCTTCTGGTCCCGCACTAGCACTATGCTCTTGCAAGCTAGAACGAGCGATTCTCCTTTTCGCTCCCACCATTTCGCTCACGAGCCGCTATCTCTCCCCAGAACGCTGCATCGGTGCACCGTACGTACGCCCACGCGTTGTTACGAGTCGCAATTTGCCGAGGTACGTCTTAGACGGCGTTTCCTTTTGAGGATTAAGTGTGCTCTCAATGCTGTCTCTTTCTCTATCTCTCTTGGTTCCGCGTTCCGACCATCGAGAGCCCTCCAGAATGTCGTCGAAGCTGCGCCGTTCCTCCAAGACGGTCGCGATCATTTTATGCCATTGATATTAATCTAAGGGGATTCTAAAATCGTCTGTTTTATCGACAAAAACGTAATTTTCGAAAGTGTGCCATTTTTTATTGCCTGTGTAGAATTAAAAATCCTTCTCCAGAATTTAAGTATATAGTATGAGATTTTATATTGAGAAAGAAAATAAGTATAAAATTACATTTTTATTTATCGACTTCTTAAATCAACATTAGCTTCTTATAAAAGTTTTATAGCTTTTATGCATAAAACAGTAACTTGTACGATTATGTATTGTAGAACATTATCGGACTATAAAAACTGAATTTAATTGCCTAATTAATAAATGACATTCTTCTGAAAATTTCAGTCCGTATGTACCTGAAATATCGAAAAAGTAGAATAAGAGGAAAAGCAGTGCATCTTCTTTATAAATAACGTGATAGAGAGGGATACGGGATGAGAATTAGATGAGGGCACTGTAATCGTGTAAGAGTTCGCCGTTCAGTTTAGAATTCCCTTAATAGTTTAAAATTTAATCTTAAAAACTTGGTATAAATAAAAAAATTTTTCTGATATTTACCTAGCAAAAATATATTTATACCTTGCATTTCATAAATGTTTTTCCGAAAAAGATACACAATTTCCTAAAAGAAACGTATAACATTCTTATTCTCTTATGTCAAGTTTTCAAGGTATGCAGGATAGAGAGAGATACGGGATGAGGATTAGATGAGGGCGCTGTAATCGTGTAAGAGTTCGCCGTTTAATTTAGGATCCCCTTAATAGTTTAGCTTAAAAACTTGACATAAATAAAAATATATTTATACCTTGCATTTCATAAATGTTTATCCGAAAAAGATACACAATTTCCTAAAAAAAAAAAAAAAAAAAGTATAACATTCTTATTCTCTTATGTCAAGTTTTCAAGGTATGCAGGAATAATTATTGCCGTGCGCAATTTAATATTTCTAGGAAGGGGAGCGCAAAGTTATTATTCTAAATTACGTCGCGAAAAACGCAAACCTTGAAAGGCCCCGAAGGCTCGTATGGCGAGCACGCATTTAAATAATTCACCCACCTACTTGAATCGTCGAGAAGTTGAAGGCTCGTCGGCAGCTCGTTCCAAGTTTTCAGCATTGTCACGCGCACGCGTTGCCCCGTCATTTGCCAATTATCGCGAGTGAAAGCACACTCGTGTAACGCCAAGTAATTGCGTTACGCGGACAAACGAGCGCAATCGCGCGATGGACAATCGCGCAAGAGCGGTCGTTACTCAACGGAGTAATCGCGTCGCCGTCCGCCTCCTCTGCCCCCCCCCCTCTCTCCGTCTCCTCCCTTGTATACATGTGTACGTAAGCGCGGAAAAAATATGCGGCCCGGTAATAATCGCGGTAATCACGCCCGGAGAATGCGGCAGAGGCGCGTTTATAAGTACATAACGGTTTGCAGGACATCTCGCATGATCGGGCACGAAAGATACGATCCTCTCGCCCGCGATCGACGAGCCGAACGAGGAAGTAACGAAGAAGGTAACCAAGTCGATTTTTCAGGACGACAAATTTATCCTGCAATTGACAAGTGCGCCTTTTATCGATTAAAAAAGAGAAGACTCCGGTTAAAAAAGATACGAAAGGACAATTGAATTTTTTAAATGTGTGTCTTACATGCGTGGGAGATGAATTTGATAATAATTATGTATATTGAATAAATTTTTATGATACACGTCGCAATTACATTTCTCATGTGACAACATTGTTATAAAAATTCAAGTGACTTTTAATTATAATATTAAAATGATCACTCTCCAGATACTTGTGTATCTTGAGAGAAGAATGCATTGAGAGAGAGAGAGAGAGAGAGAACGCAAATTATATAAATAGCTTTTTATATAAATTTTTATATAAATTATATAAAAAGAATATTATATAAATAATATTCTTCTAATAGTTTACGTGTATTTGAGCAAAAAGAGTGTGTAGATAAATCTATCAAAGTAGTACATTATTTTACAATTGCAGTGGACATTAACCTCAATGATATGATGATGATGATGATGATAATAATGATGATGAAGATAATGATGATGATGATAATAACGGCTGATCAATGAAGCGGTAATGCCGGCGAAATTCGTATAGATCCGATCGAAATCACCGATATTGGCGGCTTCGCCGTCTCTCTTAGGCGATCGTATTTGCGTGTACTTGAACGTGCCACGTTACGGCCGTGCGTATACAATATTTGCCTTTGCACAATATTTGCAGACACTCGAGGGTATTGCCGCGATTCGTCCGGGTTCCGGTACAGGTGTCGTGCACCTTCGCGTCGGTGACTTCTTGGAAGGAGCTAGCGAAATAAATGCGTACGTTATATATGTATCTCCGACGCACACGAAGGCACGAAACGATCTCTCTCACTCGAAACGGACCGTTAGCCGATGGTCAGCGAGGATCCACTCGTTACGTCACGTCTGTATTCGATGCGAATGATCGCCTCGGGCGACCGTAGAAATTCGCGCTGTCAATGTATAGGCAAGCGTGGCGCAATCCGCCCGTCAGATTTTTGACGGATCGTGCGATCCTCTCCGATCCTCTCTGGCTGGGTACAAATGAGAGTATCCTTGATGCTATAATGTTTACTTGGGGGATATTCGATATACGATATCACTGCTAAATGTTGCTCCAAGTCCAGCTTATTCATTAAATGCTTTCATCTGATCCTCGTGATCGCAGGAAACGTTTATGTAATAATCGACGCACGAATAAATATGTATTTCTGATTAAAGATGAGCTAAGTGTGATTTTGGATACGTTAATATTTCAATCAAAAATTGTTGCAAAAGTGAAAGAGCCCGTTTCTCTTTTCTATTGAAATCACGAATTCGTTGACGTGTGACTGCATAGATAAGTCTCATTTCTAGTTTCTCGAAAAGGTTTCAAGGACAAATGATCGAAGGAGATTCTGGGGCGATTTAAAGAGCGCGTCGAAACTTTAAGAGAGAATCGCATTAAAAAGTACACATTTGGCATTTTTTAAAGGAACACTGAGAAAAAAATCTGGTTGCATCAATTAGAATTCTGTTAGATTAAACCAATATATCTGTTGGAAAATGGACAAACCAGAATTCTTGTAGGAATTACCAGATGAATTTGATTAATTTCTTCGTATTAAATTTACCAAATTTTCTCGTTAATAATACTAAACTCACCAGCACCAAGTCGTCTAAAATTTCTTCTATTCTAATTTCAAAAGTCTGTGTAATATTCTGAATTCCAGCAAGATTATTGGATAAATTCAATCCAGATTATTGACTAAATTATTTTAAATTCAGTTTGTTAGAAATTAAGCTGATAAACAGTGCACTGAGAAAAAATCTGATTGCATTAAATAGAATTCTGGTAGATTCAACCAATATATCTGTTGGAAAATGGACGAATCAGAATTCTTGTAGGAATTACCAGATGAATCTGATTAATTTCGTCCTGTTAAATTTACCAAATTTTCTCGTTAATAATACTAAACTCACCAACACCAAGTCGTCTAAAATTTCTTCTATTCTAATTTCAAAAGTCTGTGTAATATTCTGAATTCCAGCAAGATTATTGGATAAATTCAATCCAGATTATTGAATAAATTATTTTGTGTGTGTAAATTATTACTGAAAAATTCAGTTTGTTAGAAATTAAACTGATAAACAGTGATGCAAAAAGAGAATGCAGCTCAAACACACACAATCAGAGAGCTAGCGTCCTCTTTCTTCACTACTGCTCGTAAAAGAAAAAAAATATACTTTGGATTCAATGTTAATACTAGTTCTTTATATACATTTCAAATTGGCAAATATTTAATACGAGTTAAGTTAAAAAGCAAGCAAAGAAATTAATGTAACAAGAAATTTTATAGATCCAACTATAAAATACCAAATCCTTATAGTAAAATCTATTAAACGTTCTAGTTATAAAAAATCAAGTCTCATCATGATAACTAGAAATTCTTGTTTGATTTAACCAAAATGCCTTCAATCATATACGCCTTGTTGATACAATCAAACGATTTTTCTCAGTGAAGGAAAGAAAAAAATATGTGGTTGCGTATTAAATAAAAACACATGTTACATTTTTCTATCACTATTTTTTATTATTACTATTTTTTTCATTCGCACTGCTTCAAGATCCTCGAACAAAATTTCGTAAGCTCGATCGATTCCGCCACTTTTCACCGTCTTCGTACGCGAATGAACATCGATGGCAGATACTATACCGTGTAACGTGAAAGAACGAGATCAGAATCTTAGGTAGAGACACGAGTCTTCACATTATCGTGCTTCATTCTTGTTTCAGCCGTGCAAAGGGGGCGAGTACCACCGTCGCAACCCTCGCTGCCGGGTCTGCCGGGTCAGTTCGCCCTGACGAACGGGGACGCGGTCGCGTGCGCCGGCCTAAACGGACACAATTACCTCTCGTCGTACATAAGTCTGCTGCTGAGGGCGGAGCCGTACCCTACCTCGAGATACGGCCAGTGCATGCAGCCCAACAACATCATGGGCATCGACAATATCTGCGAGCTCGCGGCGCGGCTGCTCTTCTCGGCGGTCGAGTGGGCCCGGAACATCCCGTTCTTCCCGGACCTCCAGGTGACGGATCAAGTGGCACTACTCAGGCTAGTATGGAGCGAGCTGTTCGTCCTGAACGCGAGCCAGTGCTCGATGCCTCTCCACGTGGCGCCGCTCCTGGCGGCGGCGGGACTTCACGCTTCACCGATGGCAGCGGATCGCGTGGTCGCCTTCATGGACCACATCAGGATCTTTCAGGAGCAAGTGGAGAAGCTCAAGGCCCTTCACGTCGACTCCGCGGAGTACAGCTGTCTCAAGGCCATCGTCCTCTTCACCACTGGTGAGTCTGAGATTAATGTTCGCTTTTAGGTTGATATGATTTTGAATCGATTATAACATTTTTAATTAATTTACAGATAATTTTTTTATTCAATTTCAATCAACTTTCCGATACATATACAGGGTGTCCCAAAAGTCCCGGACCGGTCGAATATTTCATACACTATGCACTTTAAAAAGAAATGTTTCAGACAAAAATTGTATGACTTGAAGGGGGCCATCAGATAGTGGCAATGATTTGACATGGGAGAGTCATTTGAAAAGTCACGTGAAGATCACCGTTAATTTCTTAAATGGAACTCTCTATTTTTTATTAAATATTCTGGTAGCTCACGTCGAGAGCTTTCCAAAACACTATAATTAAGTTAGTTTTCATTAAGTACTTTCCGAATTATGAGGCTTAAAATCATTTCTTAATTTTACATAAACCATAAAATATTTTGTAAAATATTCATTTTGCGATTATCTTACCTTAATAATTTTATGTACAAAATAATGAGAAGAATCAATTGGTGTAAAGAAAAAACATAGTTGTTTTTAAGAAAAAAATATGTAATTTGCAATTAACAATTACATTTTTTTTTTTAAACAACTATATGTTTTCTTTACACTAATTGATTCCTCTCATTATTTTGTACATAAAATTATTAAGGTAAGATAATCGAAAAATGAATGTTTCAAGATATTTTACGGTTTATGTAAAATTAAGAAATGATTTCAAGCCTCATAACTCGAAAAGTACTCAATGAAAAAATACTTTATTATAGTGTTTTGGAAAGCTCTCGAGATAAGCTACACGAATATGTAATAAAAAATAGGATGTTCTATTTAAGAAATTGACGGTGATCTTCACGTGAGTTTCAAATGATTCTCCCATGTGAAATCATTGCCATTATCATGGCCTCCTTCAAGCCATATAACTTTTGTCTGAAGCATTTCTTTCTAAAGTGCATAATTTATGAAATATTCGACCGGTGCGGGACTTTTGGGACACCCTGTATATAATTATTTTTTCATTATTTATTAAAAGTCACACTTTTACCCGTCGAAAACTTGTTCGAGGGGTACGTTTTTTTATATTTTTGATAAATGCTGCACAAGATATATCGCGCAAATATTATCTATTAAATATTTAAATATTAAATATTTATCTATCTATTATCCGCACGTCACAACGACATTCGTCGAGATTCGTGAAACCTCCATTGAAAAACGAAGAGCACTTGCGCTCGAAGAACTAGAAAATCATTCGACTTAGCGTTTTTGCGTCTAGCACGAGGGTCTCCTATAACGTACTCTCATACACGATACTTCGGTCATCGTCTGCACTACCCTCGCCTGTCTCGCCTATAATCGTCATGACGATGCTATCTCGAAGACGCTCGTTGTCACGTAGCCGCGATCCTTGACGGGCCTAGAGAGAAGCCTGGCGGTGCACGAGAGGGACAATGCTCTCTCTCTTCCTCCGCTCGCGAAGCTTCAGAGTTCCTACAGCATGTACCGGGTGGCGGGAGAGCACCGGAAGAACTCTCCGAGCCTAAACGGAGCGGGTCTCTCCCTTTTCCTCCTCCTTTCGTTCCCTCTTTCTCTATCCAGAGAACCCGCTCTCTCGACGGCGTTCGTTGCTCGCTGACCGTAGGCTCGGTCTAATCGACGTGGCGTAGATATTATCGCCCGCGACTGTCATCCAGCAACGCTGGATCCTCGTCCAGGACCAGGAGAGAGACCCCATGACGACAATTCACTGACGTAACAATGTGTAGCGCCGCGGACGTGCGTTATGCCCGTGATCGTCATCGAGCGCGCATTGAGACAATGCGTTTCTCCTGCTTCCTCCTCCCCGTCCGTCTCTCATCGTAACGTGTTCTCGCTCGCCGAAGCCAATCTCTAGTCCCTGTATCTATCTCTTCCCGTTTCATCCATCTCACTCCCGCTCTATCTCTCCGTCTCTTGCTCTTTCGCAACATCCGATGACAACCGCATCCTGTCCGAAGCGCGAGTTATCTCCCGGCCCATCTGCTCCTTTCTCCAGGAGGAACCACTATTATCGCGTACGTACACACACATGCACAATTGGGGGAGATTTCGACCGGGCGATCCTTTCCTCTCGATGTGTCCTCCTGATGCACGCATATTCGTACGCACACGACTCGCGTACGGGCGGCGAGATTTTAGTTTAGGGGAGGTCGACGAGGAGAACGTCGGCGAAGATGGTCCATGCTAAAACATCTCGTCGTAGATACGAGACGGGGGGGCTATTTATTTCCGTGCTATATGGGCGCGCTTAGCTCGGTTTAGCTTATGCTAATGTCCCATTCTCGAGGAACCACCTCCGCCTCTCCTCTTTTTTGCCCCGCTCGATTTTTTTTTAATCCTTCCTGCGCTTGAACGCGATCGCCGGACGGCTGGTCCTTTTCTTCCTCGCTCTTTCGATCCTTGCTGTAAGTATCGTTCGTCCTCTCTTCAGTCTCTTCGTAAAATTTAACGTTTAACTCTTAGCTTATGTGCGATCTTTTTCGAGTGTAATTATATTTTTAGGAGCACAATTGTATGGATTAGAGATTTATTGCATATATAAATGATTAATAAATTAAATGCGTTTTTAATGAATTATAATTAAGAGAAAAGTATAATTTAAGGATGTATTGAACAACTTATATACTTAATTATCGAAACTTATATACTTAAATTAACGCGTTCATTGTTTCGTATATACGCAACAATTTCTAATCTTCTTAGAAGAATTTAATAATTTTAAATTTCAACAATATTATCATCTTATTTTAATATTGTAATTGTCATCTCAAGAATATATAATTATTTAATTCCACTTTAAGAAAATTATAATCTTTGATTTAAAAATGTTATTTTCTATCCAACATTGTTTCTTTTCCATTCAAGAAAATTAAATCTTGAAAAGGATGTATTGGACGGACCGTCTGTCTCAAAAGTTAATCCAAAGTATCAAAATATTAAAATTGGGCAGAATACGAATTCTAATTGATCAAAAATTTTTTAAAAATCACGAAATCATACTTCAAAGTATTCTTTAATATAAATAGGTCTTAATTTCCAAGAAAATGTTGCCACGTTTTATCATCAATATTGCGTCAAACCGATAATCACAGTTATTTTTTAATAATAATTTCAAAACGAGCAAGTAAATCGTTTTAAAACTTTGTGGGAACATTTTTACATGTATGAAGAATATAATATTACAAAATGAATTTTTTATCATTGTTTTTTTATAGTTTGGGAATAATTTATTACCTGTCTCTTGAACGTTTACATAAGATCCTATGTTAAAATCGCAAAATTCAAAAATTAATAATGTTTAAAGGAGCAAGTAAACAAATTTGAAATAATTCATGACGATTTAGAATATTATTAAGAATTTTAAATTAAAAATTCACGGCGATTCTCATTGATTGTAATATATCTTCAATACATCCTTAAGAAGTGTGAACATAAAACTTTAAACTACATCTTCTACTCATTAATTTTAAAATACAAATAATATTAAAGACTAGAAGCGAAATAAAAATTAATATTTTAATAATTTGCAATCCTCGACATTCATTAAAAAACTTAATTTTTTTAATCATAATTTTTATAATATATAATTTTTTCATTTATTATTTAAAGAAAAGAAAAAATTGTCCTCTATTCTTTTTTCAATATAAAGATAATTTCTTTAATTCATTTACTGATAATAAACACTCATCCATGCAGTTGGGAATAAATACTAGTCAATAAATTACCGGTAACATTTCTGTATAATATATCACCATGAAGATAAAATGCCGACGCAAATGATAAGCTTATTACTTATTACGGGGTTAAGGGATCGTTATTGCGAAGGTTAAAAAGTAAATGGACCAGGACACATCATTCCGCCCAATTTAACATAATGAAAGGTAAAAGCAAGGAAACGGTTCGTACTCCGCGGTCGCGAATGAATTCGTTTGAAATGAAAAGTGGAATGAATGTTCGCACGTACCGCACGGAGCCGCATTATTACGCTAATCGAGGTGTGTCACTACATAGCGAAACACAGAAGTAACGAATGCGAAATGCATTATTAATTGCGTCGAGGCCGGTTACGCCGCTTTTAAGATCGTATAAAATCGAGATAACGAACGGTCGTCACTTAAACTTTTGCTTCGTATGTTCCACATAAATATAAGAGCGTTTGATAATTAACGCACTATAGTTAATGAGATATAGTTAATGAGATACATAGATGAGAAGGGAAATATCTAGGATTTTGCGACGCCAATTATAATCGATTTGAGATGTAAATTGCAATTATCAATTATATGTCGCAATAGTTTATATCGGACCGTTTGGATTGTCAAACTTTAATAATTTAAATGTAAATTGTTTTCTGTTATGCAAAAAATTATATTGGATAGATTATAATTATATGAGAACCGCGTCAATTTTTGAAAATAATATGAAATATGTGATTCTATATAGGTTTTTTATTGATATCATCTTATTTATTCATTTATTACTTTTACATATAGTTCATGATTATTCGTTACTTCTCCCTCTCTCTCTCTCTCTCTCCTTTACTTTTTTTTAGGATTATTCATTAATTTAATTTTTAGGATTATTCATTAATTTTATTAAAAGGATAATGTATAAATATGAAGCAATGTGTTTATTAATCATAATAAAACGAATTTTGTTGCAAAAATTCGTGAAATTTAACTTTAAAGTTGAGATTGAAATAAATTGTATTTTTTTCGCATCTTGTCTCCTGTGTAAATTGTTTTCTGCTATGTAAAAAATTATATTGGATTAGAATTATATGAAAACCGCGTCAATTTTTGAAAATAATATGAAATATGTGATTCCATAATACAAATTTTTTATTAATATCATCTTATTTATTCATTTATTACTTTTACATATAGTTCATGATTATTCGTTACTTCTCTCTTTCTCTCTCTCCTTTACTTTTTTTAGGATTATTCATTAATTTTATTAAAAGGA